TCTCCGGATGCTGATATCAGATCTGACTTCCAAATCTGCTAAACGATTCTGGGTGGAGAGTTACGGACCTTTTTTGCTACCGTGCTTAACCATTGCGGTGCGACCCCCTGCCCATGCTTTGCGCTCGTAAACCCCTCGTGACCCAGCTGCCGCCGTGGCTCGATGGCGCAGCAGGTAAGTGGATGGCTTCATAGTAGTGAGACGGAGGTTCAAATCCTTGATGCATTTCGTAGTTTTGCTTTTTCTTGAAACGCATGCTAAACACTTGGGAAGTAGTTTTGCGTACCTGTCCGACCACCAAGACCCCCTCCCTGCTACTTATTGAGCCCCGCGAACGATTTTCGTGGAAACTTACACTTTTGCCTAACTAGCTCAAGCAAGGGACCAAATACACATGCATATCTGCTTGGAGCTCGTGAACTGCGAGATTTCATCATCCTATAGGATGACAACGTGTGTGGCCAACGAAAGAATTCGTCATCTCTGGTAGCTCTCTTCACTCACGCCCACAATATCAGCCAACATCTTTGCGACCTGTCCACCATAGTTGGAAATGTTCTGCCGGACTCTGGTGCTATCACACCTAGTGAAAGAATTCGGGTCTTGCGATATTGTTTGATCACTATCCCGCAAAGAAAAGAAGATTGCAGAGAGTTTCTATCCTATTGTGCGCGACGCACTGTACTACAACCGTATAATCGACTGCGAGGGAGATAGCTTCGTGGAGGACGAACATACGGATCCTTTCTGGGCATCTGAAGATAACGATGAATCCCTTCAGAGCATCTAGATTTGAACAATTTCTTTCTTAATCCTGGTATTCAGCAGGTTACCTTGACACTCATCCAGACGAGTTCGAGAGTTCTCTCCAATATTGCATTACATATCATCTGGAGGGAATCTGTGAGAATAATGGTTGCAGCGAAATTCTTTTTATTCGCAGCTCACACTGTGAAGAACTTTTTTGCTCTAACCATTTTGTATTGGGATATCACACTGTGCTCGCTTAAAGGCACAACCTGCGATAAATCGCAATCACAGATAGTGCATTAGGGGTTCGCATAGACTAGAGCTGTGCTGTGTAACTCGGTAATGAAAAAAAGGCAGAAAAAACTCGTCACCCGCCTTACAATTAGATAGAACCCCATTTCAAGCCACTTTGTACGTGCCCAGTGAGCTCCATCTCCTACACTACGCCCTCATCCACACAGCTTATTCACTATAAGAACTCTACGACCTTACAAGTGAGCTTACGATTTTCATGCTTTTTCGTCCTGCAGCTTCGTTTTTCATTGGATGATGGGCTTTGAAGGCGGAGTCTGGAGACCGAGCCACTGGTAAAGGAGTGTCCTCTTTGGAGCTATATTGCGTTATAGCACCCCTCCCTAACAATTTTTTCGCCGTAAACCAGTACAAGGTTGTTCCTTGCGGACCACTACCCTCGCGACACCATATTTCCAACTTTATTCCTGATCGTGGACCAAGCCTTTGATGTTTCCCATTAAATACGAAAATATATGCCTCGAATGAAGCTGTCACGCCAACACCATCAAAATGAATGCTTTCACTGAAGTTAAAATAAAACCCCTGAAAAGTCGCACATAGGCCCTAATAAGAAGCAGGGAGGGGTCTTGGTGGTCGGACAGGTACGCAAAACTACTTCCCAAGTGTTTAGCATGCGTTTCAAGAAAAAGCAAAACTACGAAATGCATCAAGGATTTGAACCTCCGTCTCACTACTATGAAGCCATCCACTTACCTGCTGCGCCATCGAGCCACGGCGGCAGCTGGGTCACGAGGGGTTTACGAGCTGCCCAAGCAGTGGCAAGGGTCGCACGCGAATGCTTAAGCACGGTAGCAAAAACGGTCCGTAACTCTCCACCCAGAATCGTTTAGCAAATTTGGAAGTCAGATCTGATATCAGCATCCGGAGACGCTCCTAGGAGTATACATCTCATTTTGAATGGCCAGGACGAGTTGGTATCCTTCCCTTGTCAGGGAATGCGACTGTACCCAGCTTAGTCACCAAACTTGGAAGCCTCTATTTACCGCCTAGCTAGATTCCTACCTCTTCCCTTACGAAGCAAAATTTTTTGAAAATCAACGTTTTCTCAACAATGAAGTCCACCTTCACTTAAGTTCACCGTTTAGAAGTTGTAAAAGTTGGGCATTAGTCCTAGTTATCAGTGGTGATTACCTTGTGGATTGAAGGTGTCGCTTTGTGAAAGAAAATTTGCTCTGAAATGATGGTCGGAGTGGACTTTCTTCCCATCCTAATATATAGTGGGATAGGATACCTAATCAGTAGTTCTTGCGCGTCATTGCGCCTAGAACGATGGTGTCCTGCAGGAATGCAAGTCCACCTTTTTTTAACTTTGTTGTAGTCTTGACCTTGCAAAGGTTGAAGCCTTCAATACACTTGGACCTTGTACCATTTGTTACACTCGAGAGTTTCGCTTTTCATTCTCGGAAAAGGGTGCCCCTAGTAATGAACGGGAACTCCGCCTTTTTTTTTCTCCTTTGCTGGATGGATTCCCTATTAATTCGCGAAAAAGGTGACTCCTGGTAATGAATACGAGCTTCTCCCTTGTTATAGAAGGCCCCGATCCGGCTTTAGAGGCAGTTGACGCGATAAATTCCCAAGAAGACTTGGATCAATACTCTTGGCAGGGGCCCTGGGCAGGCGCTGCATAGCGGTTTCCCCGAGGAAGGTGCCCTTATAAGGGCCCTATCAAGCCACAACTTTACGTCCCAAACGCCCGCCACGCCCGCCCGCCCACAAATGGACGACCGTTCCTGACGCTCGTATTCATTCATTTGCTAAGCAAATTATGAAGCGAAGGGATTGGTATGAAGCGGCCGTGATGCTGCATGCATATATGGGTACACATATGCAGCCGTATCTTCGGTAGCGGTGATTGGCAAGATGCCTACGGGAAACTCGTCCGAAATCGATTTACAAGTCACTGAGAACGGAGGCTTTTTCTTCGCAGGATTTTGACCGTTTCACTCCGTTCTTTCGCCATTTCCCCACTATACAGCGCCCTACTAGCATTTTAGGCTAAGTAGGAAATCCATCGTGCTTTAGCTCTTTCTACGAGCTGTCATTGCTCTAGTAGTCTGAGGTAGTTACCGTTATACTGGCGGGAGAATGGAAGGAAACAAGATTATCAGTTCAGGAAAACAGGCGCATAGAGCACCTTCAAAAATTGAGCGTGGAATCAAATATGTCGTGCCGTGAACGCACACAGTCGGGCACACCGTAACCCTGTTTAGTTAGCGTGTTTGAATTATATTTAATAACCTGTACTAATATCTTTTGCTCAACCTGGTTGTCATTCCTCATCATTGGCCTCGACCCAGCGCGTGCTTCGCGCGCGATTACGGGGGTGGTAGGAAGTTCCCGGGTGGGGCTGTCACTGGGGAGCTCCTCTCAACCTCGTGCTCTCGCCTGTCCCCGGCAGTTGCTCCCACGCACGATCAGGATACCGTATCCCGCGTGTTAAGGCTGGACCCGCGATATAGCTCCATAATGCACCCCTTTGTGTGCATTCGCGGCCCGACACACTTCATTGCGCTCTAGCGATATAGTATTCGGGGTTACTGTAAATAGTCTTAGTTCCTGGACTTATAATATCAGATAGGTAGAACCGTCCACTGCGGCTGAAAGCTCCAGAGGTGAGGTTCTGGATCACTCCACGTCTCAATGACTCGGGAGCGCGCGTAGAGGGGAAGGGTCATCGAGAGACATGACACGTTAAGAGGGGCACGCTAATGATGCCCTCTGCTCGCTTCATCCTGTTTCTTCGATGCAAGCTGGTCAGCTAGAAAAGCTAGGTTGGAATAATTCATCTAATGAACATTTCTCTCACACACGATGGTAATGAGGGCAAATTGATATAAATTGAGGGCACTGTATTTTGTGTGAATATTGAGCACTTGTTAACACGTTGACGACGGTGTCGGACAATGGTGGGCGACAGCCAGTCTGTCTCATGGGACGGTGTCGGACAATGCTGTCCGACAGCATACTGCTCTAATAATAAAGACGTGCGAGCAACCAAGTTTGTTCAAAAGATGTCTATAGGAGTAGGCTGAAATTCTGAAACGAACAGCACAGTGGTTTGGCCCGGACTGCCCGGCGCCCGCGCCACAGGCGCCGGCGCCAAAATACCTTAGGTCACCAAAAGCGCTGAAAACTTGTTTCGTGGGGTAGCTTGAACGCCTGAACACGAATATCACATTCGTTTCCCGCGAAAATGCCCGGCGCCAAAATACTTCAGGTCACCAAAATCGTTGAAAACTTGTCTCGTGGGTTAGCTTGACCCCTGAACACAAATATCACAATCGCTTGCCACAAAACTGCCTAGCGCCCGCGCCAAAATGTCCTATAGATCATCAAATTCCCTGAAAACTTGTCCCTACCGGTGAACCGACCCCCTCAACAAAAATATCATGTCGCGTTGACGACGATTTCCGTCAATGGTGGACGACAGAAAGTTTGTCTTGTGGAACGGCGTCGCCCAATGCTGTCCCACAGTTATTATATAACTCAAAATCTGCGCGATTGTTTCACTTTCTTTTCATAAAATTAGTTCAAGAACAAACATTTTCGGGTCGAGGGATGCGATATTGTTCTTTAGGAGATCAAACCACCCCGGGAGACAAATTTTCAGTCAATTCTGTCTCCAGAGGAAGAATTTGGTAAAAAATGGCCTGATTTTGGAAGATGGAGCAATAAGAGCTAAATTGTGTCAAGATTCGAGATTGCTATACTCGTCTCTTGCATTTCTCGATAGATTTTGGTCGTAGTAATTCATTTATTTGGAAATTACTAAGTTTCAGTGTAGAAAAATGTGCCGTCCCAGGCGCAAGTCATGGGAAAAATGGCTCGTCGTCAACGTGTTAACAGGTGCGGTACTTTGAGGCTGTGGAGGCAGGTGGAATCATTCTTTCCTTCTTATTTTTGGTCAATTTCAGGGCGATACACCTAAGAGACCGATGCGCAGCGTTAATGTCACAGATTCTTTGAGTCAGGTGAGCACATCGAACATCAATGTAACTTTCATGTTTCACTTGAGTGACTCCAGTTTCAGTGCGATCTTCAGAAAAAGCCTCGAAGATTATTCAGTATTGGACTGGAATCTGAAGAAGGAAGCAAGAAGACGGGTAGCAGCAAAACAGCCGCGCAACAAACCAGTGATGATGACTCTCGGCCACGCCGTTCATCCACACGCTTCAATGAGCATCCTGAAGCATATATGGAGGAGGCAGCAACAGAGAAGCCTTCCATGGGTGCATATGGCGAGGCGAATTCAGACGCGTCGATTGAAATCACCTATAACAGTCTGCCTCCTAAACTACACATGCAGTACCATCCTGTAGAGGGGACCTCTAATTCGATAAACTGTCATAATATGGCCCCATCTTTCTACAGACAAGGTACCGATAAAGCGCAAAGCTATGGTGTGAATCCAGTGAATCCTGTCTACGACACTTCTCTGAATGCAAATCAGCCGGTTGAGTATATTGACGGAGAAGTCACGCCGGAGTCTAGTATGAGCAACACTGGTCCACCTATGAACTGCACATTACTTCAAGGAGCAGCAGAAAGCTCTGCTATATATGCTAATGCAGTAAACGGCGCTAATACTTCAGCAACGATGAGCTGTAACGAAAATCTCAATCCTGCAGCTGTTGTGGATTATACAGAAGATACTCCTGTGATGCCTGTGAGTATGCCGGCCTTCACACCAGCAGAACTTATGGGTTGTTCTGACAAGGCTGTAGAGAGAAACGAAGCTAAGTCTGTAGTCGGCTTCTGCGACAAGAAAGACACGGCAGGAGCAACAGTCGTGAACAAAGCGATTCCGGCGATGTCTACCGATGAGGGAAAAGCATCTCCAAATAAAAGCTCCTGCAAGCAAAAAACTCCATCAAAAGCCTTGAGCAAAGGTCCGCCACCTCCAAACTTTATTCCGTATAGAATGATTGCTGTTGAAAATGCAAGACTACTGGAGTTAGCTACTAATGCATCATCCAGGTATGTTTTTTCTGTGCCTAGTTTCCTTTTTGCGCTTCTTTTACACTGGCATTTTTTTTCAGTGATTTTCTAGTTATTACTTTATTGCAAAGTCGAAAAAATTTTGTATTATATCATCTCACACTTGCATTGAAAACCCTCCATTATTTCAAAAGGGGCATGCCATCTATTACTGGTAGATACACCTTTTTCCCCGTGAGGGTTGAATTGAGAACAGTTTCTTCAATGGTAAAGAAAATGAATATTCACGTATGGTTAGTATCTTTGGGGACTTTGAGGCCAGTCAGCTACACTCCTTCTTCTTCACCGGCATAACATTATTTGAGCTGAGCTAGGACCAGGGGTCGTAATCCGTTTTTTACACAACAAAGTCGTGTTCTGCCATCAGAATTTGTTTTTATTAGATTGCATATTTCCGTTTTTGGAGCACGGGAAGAACTTCTGTTTTGCAAAAATCATTCAAACCCGATGGTTTGCCCCGTTCTGGGAGATGTGCAGCGTTTAAAGACAGTTCCGCGATCGAAGTGACTCCGCGAAATGCCTCCGTGCATTTGGCATCGGGGTCCGCACTCGCAGAGAATGTACCACTTTCGTCACTCGAAGCGGCGAAGTAAAGAGACTACAGATGCGTGATCACTGCAACTTGCAATTTTCACTCTGGAAGACAACCACGCGGAATTACGTGTGCATTGTCTTGCCGGAGCGTCGTAGGGTGATGTCGATGAGTATGCTTCAACAATATGTCAATGGCAGTAAAATTCGCAAGGCAAGATGGATTTGAGCGCTTCTCGTTTGCAGCAGCGATGCGATTATATTCGTCAGGAGCTCGTCTGCATTGCGTTCTGCATAGTGCAAAGCCGTCTTCGTTCAGCCACTCGATTTACCGAATCTCACAAAGAGGCTCGGCTGCAGTCTGTCAAAATTAAGATGGCAACGAATTGATCAGTGGTTTATGTACTTCATAAACCTGGAGAGATCTCCGCAAGAAGCACTAAATACTTAACAAGCGTAACTTGGCTTAGGCAGTGTCATGGTTTGGGGGGGAAGGAGGGGGATTTCCTCAAGGCGAGCTTCATGAAGCCCTCATTTCTACAGCAATGACTTCGCGGACTACCAGAACATGCTTCGGCGTCACCTGCAGCCATTTCTTGTCAGACATGGGAGGAGAGTAGTTTTCCAACAGGACAATGCGGCCATCCATGTGAGCAGGTCTACTATGACATGGTTCAAGGAGCGGAATAGTCAATATGGATAGGCCGCTTGCTCTCCGGATGTAACTCCCATTGAGGATATCTGGGGTTTTCTCGTCAGGGATATTCACAGCCAAGAACGGACCTTCTAGGACGTCGCAGACCTCCAGCCGGCATTCAGGCATTCTGAGATCATTGCTAAAATGGAGGAACAATTAATTATCATTAAAACACTAGTAAACGTTTGTATTCCTGATTTGAAGTGTGTCTGCACTCATGACACGGCCTGAGAACAGGTCGAGCTTCCAAATATCCTCACGTTTTTCAGCATTAACGAATAGTAAAAGCAAAACAAAAGAGTCAGCAAAATTTATCGCAAAAACCCAAAAATCCAAAAGAATCTAAAAGTTTTCGCAAAAAAATTATTTTCATTCCTAGCACCTTCCTCAGCGATCATACTACGGTGAGCTGCCTCGCATCATCGAAATGTGGACCCTGCCTCCGCTAGCGTACTTCCTCCAGTAGAGACCGGATCCTGCCTCCACTGTTGTAGCTACCCTAGCGGGAGACGCGCCTACATGTGTTGAGAGTGACCTACCCTTCACTTTCTGAATAGTAGAGGATGCCGAGTGACTGTTGCTGTATACGATATCACCAACCATTGTCACATAGTTAGTGGATTAGTTGCAGCGCGTCACGTAGCTTGTCCTCACTATTTATTTCTGTGAAGACCTTATTTCCAAATAATTTTCTTTCCACCGGGTTTTCTCTTGAGCGGTGTAATACCATTACAGAAATGAATGGTGAGGACGAGCTGCTGCAATTGATTCACTGACTACGTGATAGGTTGAGTGGTTGGTGATGTCATTTGCAGCGATAGTCACTAGGCGTCCTCCACTATTTAAGGTGACGGGTAGGTTGCTCACCCAGCACTTCGAGGTGCGGCTTCCGAAATGTTAGCCACAACATATCAGCGGACGCAGGGTCCAGGTTTCGATTGGAGGCAGCTCACCGTAGTATTTCAGATCGCTGAGGAAGATGCTAGGCACTGAAAAACTCGTAGGAAGAAATAAGAAGAAGTTTTTTCTGCGGAAAATCGAATTCTTTTGTATCTTTGGAGTTTTTCGCAAGAAATTTTGGTGCTCAGGTTATATGGTCGGATCCCTGCTAGGCTGAAATTTTTGCTCCTTGCAGGAACATGGCAAAGTGATTTTAACGTCACCGTTGCACCAGCGCTCGCCTAAACTTGCCTTTATGAAGGCGAGGCGTTGTGGGTACCGTAACCCGAAGTAACGTGCAATAAACAGCAACTCCGTTGTGGATACACGCACAACCCGAATTGACGACAGTCTCAAAAATCGGCGTAGTTTTAGCGTCAATGTCAGTGTTGTGCATGTGATCGCCATGGGATTACAATATACTGGACGCCGCTTTGGGCTACAGTATCCTGTCGGTAATACTGAACGTAGATTCTTGTTTTGTAATGAGACATAGATTGGACGTGTTTCTGGCGCTGATCTCAATATCTCCTTCGAAGTATGCAGAACGACTCTTTACGAAGTTATGAAGTTTTTTCTTCTGCGTCTAACAAAGAACAGGTTATGGGGGTCGGATCACTGCTAGGCTGAAATTTTTGCTCCTTGCAGGATCATGGCAAAGTGTTTTTAGCGTCATCGTTGCACCAGCGCTCACCAAACTTGCCTCTATGGAGGCTAGGATGTAAAAGTGTTCGTACCCCACCAGCACGCTTTCACGCTAAATGCGTTTCATGTTCGCGCTGAGGGGGTGAAACTACTCCCAGATACAAGTTTGAAGCGAAATCTCGCATTTTGACCTGACTTCGAAAAGTGGAGCATGGAGGTGCAGTTCAATTCATGTTCACACCTACTCGACCACATATGCACTTTTCTGTTCTGTACAGAGGCTCATCCTGCCATTCCTAGCTGCCTCATTCTGTTATAGCTCAGTTTCCTTCACAACTAAAAGTAAATACTACCTGAAGATAAGTCCTTGGTAACAAGCTGGTCAAAAGTGAATTCGGCTAGATGTGTTCGTAGGGTGGCCTTGCTCCCCGAGGTCAACCGTCCCATTTTACTACGACCCCGTCCGACACACTCGTCCAGGCCCCGCCCCCAGAGCTCTGTGTTCAGGGTGTTCGCGAGGTTTTTTTTCGATTTTTTTTCCACTGGGGGGTTACAAATGGGCCACTGCTTCGTGACTGAGCACCAATTACCCGAACACTTGATATTGTCTTTAAATTACGCGTCGATGGTATGCATCCCAACAGAAGCGGCCACTTAGACTTGGGGTTCATACCAAAGATGTTTTCCCGACACAAAAGAGACATTCCATGCAAAATGCTGAAATTTTCAGCCCCTTCTAGAACCCGAATATTGAGCGCATGCCTGTGAAGCAGGACTCTTACCGTTATGGCCTATGCCCACTAGTACTTCCGCTTCGTGAGTATCCATATACAGCGACACAACGGCGACGCCTGAGTGCACTCGTTCTGCGAATTTTAACAGCGCATCTGAGATGAGCGTCCAAAACCACGTTCCGTAATCTATTTCTCATTGCAGATGGTCAATTCGACCTGGGGACCCACCCTAGTTAGCACAATAGTAATAACTACCACTAGAACCTCTTTGAATACAGTACTCATCATTTTTTCGAGGGTAGGATTCGAATAAGTTGGCAATTTATCCATAGTAATATATCCATTGTTAATCCAACAATCTAATGTATAATTAATCTGACCGAAGTAATAATATCTCGCACCCGAATGTGCTAAACACCGAAATATGGCAGGGTTAAAAATTTTGGAAAATTTCTTGTTTCTAAGTTTTGTTTTGAATAAGTTTAGCGTTCACAGTGTTATCAACGTTCATATGTGTGATCAAGAAGTTTTTAATATCCTTGAGCTATGAATTCTTTCTAGTGGTAAACCATCTCTTCCAAAGCCTTCGCCAAAACGTCGTCGTAAATATAAATACGTGGTTGAGAGCGTCCTCGACAATGTGCCGTATACGTTCCGTCAGACTGAGTCTGATGACGACGAATATACCGAGAAGAATAGTCTATCAGCAAACAGATCGCATAACTGACAAAGTGTAACTCAATGTTTTCAAGCATTCCAAGCCTAGTGATCATTCCCTGTTCCATTAATATCGTTTAGTCCCAGCCCGGTTGATATCAACTGTTGATATTCGTGATACTTTTTCCTTTTGTCATTTGTCATTCATTCTCCCCATCTTGCTGACGATGAATGCTTACTTCCTGAATTAATAAGAAGTACAACTATTGTTTTCCATTCACCGTTAGGTACTTATTATATATGGATCTCTACAAATGTGAGCAAGTCGATCTCTGTTTCTGTTATGGGTCGTGATATAATCTACATCAGAAGAAATTAATTTTACATCGATTTCTCATTTTATTTTGCATGATTGGTACTTGCTAATGAAAGTCCTTTGTAATCTGCTACAATGCATCATAAAGAAGAATCAAATGATTTTTTATTGTCCATTACATGTGCGGCCAATAGTTAATGTTCATCATTACGAAATGCTTAATAGTACATGAACGTTTTGAATAAGATTAAATGAATGAGAATGATAGGGGAACAGAAAGCCATGATTCAAATAACGATTACGTACATACATACAGCACACGAACGCGTTCGGACTTCCCGATCGCGCGATCGGACCGAGCGACCACCGCCAAACGGTGCACCGCCGCAACGTCACAATTCAAACTGACACTACGTGAAGCGGCCCAATTTGAATTCTGCCGTGCGGCGGCGCAGCGCTTGGCGGCGTAGCGCCCGCTTCGTGGTCGCGATCCAGTCGAGCGATCGCGAAGAATAAACGCGGTATTACAGTGACGTTTATCGTCAACGCTTCTAACAGAAATGGTCAACCGCTTCAAGCACGTTCACCGCGGATACGGCGAGCCAGCTGGATGTCCTTGGGCATGATGGTGACACGCTTGGCGTGGATAGCGCACAAGTTGGTGTCTTCGAAGAGACCAACGAGGTATGCCTCAGAAGCCTCCTGAAAAAAGCAGTTACTAAAACATCGCTCATTCACAGATGCAACTAATGAACAAGGTAGTCGTCATTCTCTTCATCACGCAGTAATAATAAATGAGGTCAACAAACACTCGCGAGCGAGGCACTACATCCTGGAACAAACCCCGCTGCTCACACTTCCTTTTCAGTTTGCTAAGATAAAAATACCACGTAAGGGGTTTCATACCTGAAGAGCACCAATGGCGGCAGACTGGAAACGGAGATCGGTTTTGAAATCCTGAGCGATTTCACGGACCAGGCGCTGGAACGGCAGTTTGCGGATGAGCAGCTCGGTCGACTTCTGGTAACGACGGATTTCACGAAGAGCGACGTTCCTGGACGGTAACGATGTGGCTTCTTCACACCACCTGTTGATGGAGCAGACTTTCGCGCGGCCTGGAAAACTCTCAGAATAATTCAAAGAATTGAACGAAAATTTGAAGTTCTAGAGAGGAAAAAGAGAAAAATTTCAGAAGCAGAAAGCTATAGAAATGAGGACAAGATACATTAACTACCTACCTTTGTGGCAAGCTGTTTACGAGGAGCTTTACCTCCAGTTGATTTACGTGCGGTCTGCTTAGTACGGGCCATTTCTGCAGTTGTTTGTTATGTTTTTAAAGCGATACACTCGGACAACAAGGCATGAGAACTCGAAAGGCTATGACATTGTTCGAGACGAAAAATAGGTAGATCGAACCAATCGTCTTGATGCATAACATAAGAAATCGGCAATATCCAGCTCCCGAAATCGGACTGCTTTTCCATCGATTTTTTTCTGAGGTGGGGAGGGGGGTATTACGACTTTCTGAACGCGAGTATCACATCTCAAACTGCCTCGCGTCCAAACCACAGGCACTCGCGCTAAAATACCTTGAATCACCAATTTCGCGGGAAACTTGTCTCCATGGGTAGCTGGACTTCCTGGAAACGAATATCACAGTCACTTGGCTTTCGCGATAACCCACGGTGTGTAAGAACGGCATTATTCGAAAAACTACAAACATCTCTTCGTTGCAACCTGCGAACGTACTTCTGGCACACTGTAGGGCATTTCAAACTAGCCTAATTTTGGGTGCGCCTATTTCTGACTTTGGAGAAGTTGATAGACGTTTAGTAGAAAGATTATGAGAATAACTTGGATAGAATGTTTGCCTTTTGTGGGTTTCAGGGCTGATATATATGCGCACGCCAATTTCTACGAAACCCAGATAAAGAAGTATTATGCGGACATTTAATCAGAATTGTGAGCTAAAGTTCACGATATGCGAGAGGGAATACCTAATTCTTCCGGAACGGCAGAGGATTTGACAGCTTTGGTAATTTTTGATTGCTTCAACCAAAGGTGAGGATACATGCTTGAGGCTAGGTTCTACCCAATTTGTTCTGGGGTCGAGCACTTTCTGATTTGTTGCTTAGCATGGAAACCTAAACCTATATTAACTCCTGAGAAAAGTTAAAAGGAAACGCTACACGAACGCATCACCTTTCATATCTGGAAAAATCAAAGTAGAAATCAAAAAATACTCGCACATTTGAAAGCATCTATTGCTTACTTAAAACTTTCCTTCCCGAGCAAGATAAGCTAACTTGTCAGACATATGTGACACTGAACCTTACAAAAAGGCGAAAGACTGCTTTGAATCACATCACCGTTCTCTCCGATTTCAGAAGAAAGTGCATCGGACATTAGGCCCCTCTGAAATGCCCCGCAATGTGCCGCAAGTGCACGGGAGCAGGTCCTGCAACGAAGCTAAGTACTAAAGCTTTTTTAAAAA